TGCCGAGTCTTCGAACTTTTAGAAATTTACTGTCGCATATCCATTACATGTTGGAATTAACGATAAGCTTTTCCAATCATTAGAAGCCGGTATCTCTCGCAAAGGGATATTTGCAGCAAATACTGTGTATTTATGTTTTCGACGAGATAAATTTATAATATGATCAGGAAAAAGATCATTCTGATCATATAATAGAGTTTGAACAACACGCAAATGGCAGGAAGCTTTACTTGCAGATCATGCACTAGTTTTATGTGAAGCAAATTAAAGATCGATGGAAGCAGCCTGTTGCTTTTTCCTTTTCAGTTGGTAGAGTCAATAGTTCAGATTTAAAAAGTCTCATTGTTGATATCCCTCGAAAAATATTTAGTATTGGTTTAATAATTATAGCCACAGTTTACGACCAATACTCCAGAAACTGTAAAGCAATACTCCAGAAACTGTATTAATGTTATTGAAAGACACCGAACACCATTATAAAACTAAAATCGAAACTCGAACGAAGTGAGTTTTGAAATTGATGGGCACGAAATAATTCCGTTGTTTGGCCCTTCGCATTTATTAAAATGCATGCGGAATAATTTTGCAAAATAAACGAAGTTTACAAACTTAGACGAGAAGGAATATGAGCCTTCCTGGTAAGATATTGTAAACTATTATGACTATGATGCAAATTGCAGATTGTTCCGGTGATGTCTGGGCGGAGGGATGAATTTCAAGCCTGGCAGCTCAATTTTTTCCCAACGCAATGAGGATGGTTTACAGAACTCCGGTTACTTGGAAGCGAATGGAAATTCTGCAACATTTGGAACTGGAGAATTCTTGATTTTTATGGACTGTTTATTTGAGAGCGTGAATGGATTGACTAAATTGCCAGTACGAGGTAAATAATTTCGTTGTGCTGTTTCTAACCAATCACAGCATATACAATTTTGGCATAAAGCTAAGAAAGTGTTAAATTCAATACAGTTTATAAAGATAAAAATTTATAAGAGAGTATTAATCCCGCGCAATGAAGTCCTAATGATTTTAACGGATAGGGAGATAAAATCCTCTTGGAAAAAGAAAATTGTATCGGAGGCATTTACGCGGCCGGCGAAGATCGGAGATGTCCTTTGGGCGAAATCCTTCCTCAACCATGTGGTTGGGCTGTGTGCCATATCCGATGCACACTATGGTTACGATATGAATGCTGTCGGCCTTAGTTTTCAAAATTTAAACGCCCATTCTATCGCTCATTGCGGTCGAATATGAATACAGACACGACGTAGAGAAGTCTGCTTCGTAGAATTTTTCAAGGAAAGGATCATATAAGCAACTTGGAGCCCCACTGATCGAAATAATACGAGGGGCACTAATAAACCCCATGGGGAAAATCACGGCAGCCGCGGAAGCCTACGCAAAGACCGCACTTTTTTGGTCGTATAAGAAGTCAATGTTGTTCGAATATAAACTTTAGTTGCTATAATTTTGTTTCCGCTTTCAAAACATTGTTAATAATTTGTCATCGCGTCACTCACCTTCATCGAATTGCGAGATGGATATACAAATGGATTACTAACGACTTTTCGAGAATTTTTAAATATTGATTTCTCAGAAGTAAAAAGCTATATATTTTAAAACATTATTATACTTAAACAGTATAGAATTTTAAAATTTTCACGTGAGCTAATTGATTTGTATGATCTTATCTAATTTAGATAATAAATATTTGTTTCAGAGACCATATATCAATTTAATGAATTGAAATTTTTCTTCATATGAATCAATCGAGAATAAATCAAGCAAATTTCATAAAAATTCGGGAAACAAGTATCAATTTAAAATTTTTATTAAAACAATTATTAAAAATTAAACAATCGACAGAATAAGTGTAATGAAATAATATAAATATTTGCTCGTAATATATAAAGACTCTTTCAATTGTCGCATCTGTTTGATAAGTCGCATATTGTTTTATACGTTTTATTGAAGCAGAATTTAATATTTTGGAAATCATTTTCAAATTTATTTTTTTTAAATATTTTTTGGATTTGTATTGCTCGATCGGAGGGGAAAATATGGTTTCTTATTTTGTAGAAACGGTGTGGAATAAATAAAAATAGTTTTTTTGTAAAATATGCTTTCCGAAATTATTAATCATATGTTATAATATATCTACTTATATTTTTAACTTTGTCTTTTATATAGTTCTATGCATAGACATATTAAATATAGGAAATACGAACACAATATTAGTTGCAGTTATATATTAATTGCTATTACTAAATATCATTAAAAAAATTACCAGCTTTGTGAAAACAAGTTAGTCAAATAGTTCACTGGCGCTCCTACTATTACATCTGAGCGAGAAAGCTCCACTAGCACTCACACATATAAAGAAACTCTATTGACCATATTCAAAATCTTGGAAAGCGCCTTCAACTAGATGAAAAAAGTTATAAAAGGGCCAAATGCAATTTGGTAGGATGAGTTGTTAACATTTGTTGAGTTGAGAAGTTCGGTTACTTGAGTGGAAGCAAAATATATAATGGATATCATACAAGGTATTTATATATATATATATATATATATATATATATATATATATATATTGAATAGATTTCAATTTATTATATCGGCTATTACCGGGCCCGCCTGTAGTGTGCAAATTCAATTACAGATACAAAGGAATAAAAAAAATGGCAAATTCTATTCAAAGATTTAGAAGCGTGGGTGAAATCCCGCGCAATGAAATACTAATAGTTTTTACGGATTTGGATAAAAAATCAAATTGGGAGAAGAGAATTGTGTAAGTAATTTATTTAAATCCACTTTTTTATTCTTTAGGACATGTGCGTAATTAAAAAAATATTATATTTATAGTTTGGATGATGCATCCAAGAGACCGACCCGAATAGGAGAGGTCTTTTGGGCCAAATCTTTTCTACAGCATGCAGTTGGGCTGTGTGCCGTGTCCGCCACAGATTATGGTATATATTTCTTCTATATTATAGCATATACATACTTATACACACACATATATATATATATATATATATATATATATATATATATAAAGGTGATATATTATTTCAAAATCGCGTAAAAACTTTACACTTTTAATTTGAAAATTTTTATAGAAGCGTAATTTGTTATATTATTTACAGTTATACACAAAATCCATTATTACCATATTTTTATAACAGAGTTTGACATGACTGCAGTCGGAATAATCTTCCAGAAAATTAAATCAAATTCGCTCCCGGACAACAAAACTATATCTCTTATGCCGGTAGAGTATGAGAATAGTGACGATGTGGGGCTATACTTCCATGAAGTGTTTAAGGAGAAGGATATCCGAATATACTATCATGATAAGGTAATATTACATTTATATAATAATATATAAATACATTGATTGATATATTGAACAATCAGTTATTATAATATTAATAATTATTATTTTAGTCCGATGAAGCAAGTTGGGGCCCCACCGGTCCATCTTCGACGTATAGCGAAAGCGGCGAAGACGTAGCTTCAAAAGTTGGCACGGGCGGGGGTTACCGTGGCCGCGGTTACTATCGCGGCGGTGGACGTGGCGGCGGTAAATATCGCGGCGGTCGACGTGGCGGCGGTAATTATCGCGGCTGTCGACGTGGCGGCTATAAACATCGCGGCGGTCGTCGTGGCGGCGGCGGCGCTCGATATCGCGGCGGTGGCTACTATCGCGGCGGCAGAAATTATGATCGCGCCATCTTCATTTATTGAATTTTTTATAATTAATAAATAATAAATTAAACAAGTTATTATTTTTATTTGTTTTATCCTTCTATACATGTTCTATATTATGATTCATGTTGTAAATTATATATATATATATATATATATATATATATATATATCATACAGTTTTGCAGCCACAAGTCGAAAAAAACAATATCAATATATATATATATATATATATATATATATATTTCAGACATTTCAGCAAGAAAACTTGTACAAATTTCTATGTTCCTTTGCAATTATTAAGTTTACGGTCTAGTTTTAATTCAGTGGAAGCTAACTACATTCAAATAAAACCCACAACTGTCTACAACAAAATTAAAACTCAGCAAACAACAAATAGCAGATTCAGTCGATGAAATAACAAAATTAAAATACCTTTTATGTTATAATACTAAATCAAAATACTTCATACCGTCTTGGAACAGATATGTTTAGTTTTTTCTGCAATATTTGCTATTAGGGAACCAGATATATTGTATTTTAAATTATTATATTGCTTAAATGCACTCAGTACTTCGGATTTACACTTTATGAAATATTTTGTGACGTTTATTGCTGATGCATCGCGTTGGTGTGAAGTATATTTCATAAAGTGTAAATCCGAAGTACTGAGTGCATTTAAGCAATATAAAATGTATGTAGAAAACAAAACTGGACACAAGATTAAAGCTTTGCAGACAGATAATGGCAGAGAATATTGTAATAATGAATTCAATAATTTTTTAAATAATAATGGTATCAAAAGACGGCTTACTTCACCGTATACGCCTCAACAAAATGGTGTAGCCGAAAGGAAGAACCGGACATTGATAGAAATGGCACGTTGCATGTTAAAGCAAGCGGGGGCACCACAACGGTTTTGGGCTGAGGCTGTTTGCAATGCCAATTACACTAGAAACAGATGTCCAACAAGTGCACTAGATGGATGTATACCATATACGGTATGGACTGGAAAAATTCCAAATTTAGGTTATTTACAAATATTTGGATCAAAAGCATATGTTTTGATTAAAAATGGAAATATCAAAGGAAAATTTGATTCGAGATCTAAACCTGGAATCTTTGTTGGTTATTCGAATAATGCTAAGGCTTATCGAATATATATACCGGGAAGCAATAAGATAATTGAGAGCAGAGACGTTAGATTCTTGAACTATTCTGGATTTAATAATGAATATAGTGAGATATATAGTGAAAATGGTTATGATGTATATTTAAAATTGGGAAATGTCGAGCAAAATACAAACCATGAAAGACCAGCACAGCAGCAATCAAAACGTGGAAAAGGGCGTCCTAGGATTATTCGGACAGGTCATGCGGGAAGGCCGCGAAAAGAATATCAAATAAATAAAGAGATGATCGAAGATACATTAGGAGAATCCTCTGGAGAAGGGGAGGTTGATGAAGGGATTTCAAACGAAAACAATGTGATTAGTGAAAAATGTGAAATATTTGAAAATGCTTTTAATATATCCAAAATTAATATTACGACTTGGGAACAAGCTAGTCAGCTAGGTGATGCTGACGAATGGAGGAAAGCGTTAGAAGACGAGTACCTTGCGCAAATCAAAAATATGTCATGGGATATAGTTGAGCGACCCACACAAAAGAAAGTTATTGGAAACAGATTTGTTTTTACAACAAAATTAGATGGAGAACCTAATAGAAAAAAGGTGCGGTTAGTTGCAAAAGGATGTTCACAAAAATATGGTGAAGATTTTTGTGAGACATATTCTCCGGTGGCACGATCAACTTCTATTAGACTATTGGCAGCATTATCTGCGGAAATGGGTTTAGAAATTCATCAAATGGATGTCGTAACTGCATATTTAAATGGAGAACTTGAAGAAAAAGTCTACATGAATCTGCCAGAACAATTACATGAAGTATTATATAAAATTGTGAATAAGAAACCATTGGGTACTATTCAAAAACCGGCTACTGAGAAAATTAGAGATACAGCGAAGACCTGGCTGAGAAATATTGAGAAAAGCCTAGATCCCGTATGTTTATTGAAGAAAGCACTATATGGATTACGTCAATCAGGTATTCAATGGTACAAAAAATTTGTAACAAAATTGCAGACAATGGGATTCAAAGCAATGTCGCAAGACCCATGTTTGTTCATGTGCAATAAAACAGGAAAACATACATTGATAGTTATCTATGTTGATGATTTATTAATTGCTTCAAATGATAAAGATTGGTTAAATGAAATTAAACTATCTTTATCTGAATGTTTTGAGATGAGAGATTTAGGCAAAGTAGATAGATGTCTTGGAATTGAATTCAAACAGGAAAATGGATTTGTATATTTAAAACAACGTTCTTATGCAGAAAATATACTAAATCGCTTTAATATGGAAAATTGTAAAATAGTATCAACACCATGCGAGGTTAGACTCCAACTGATTAAACCTAAGGAACCCAATGAATACATCATGCAAAAGTATCCTTATCAATCTTTAATAGGGGCATTAATGTATTTGGCAGTAACTACAAGACCAGATATTGCCTATGCAGTAAATTATTTAAGTCAATTTAATACCAATTATGATACAACACATTGGAACGCAGCAAAGAGAGTATTACGGTACCTGAAAGGTACATTGAATTATGGATTGAAATATAAGAAAACAAATCAAAATTTATTTGGAATTGCAGACGCAGATTGGGGAGGTAACATAGTTGACTATAAATCATATTCGGGATTTTGCTTCATATTTGCAGGTGCGCCTATCAGTTGGGAAGCGCGAAAACAGAAAATAGTAGCTCAATCAACAACGGAAGCTGAATATATAGCTTTGAGTGAGGCAACAAGGGAAGCTATATATTTGAACGAATTATTGAAGACTCTAGATATAGGAAGTGAAACGGTTACAATATATAATGACAGCCAGAGTGCTATAGAACTTGTAAAAAACAATAGGTTCAATCCACGAACGAAGCATATCGGATTAAAATATCACAAGGTACGTGATGAATATATTAATAAGAAAATTAATATTCAATTTCTATGCAGCAAACAGATGCCAGCAGATATGCTTACTAAAAGTTTGACTAGAAATAAACACGAAGAGTGTCTGAGGAGAATGGATGGACTGCAAATAGTATAATAAATATAATTTTGAGGGGAGGTGTTAGAATACAAAATTATATATATAGAATGCGGACCTGATGAGGATATCTATCTAGGAGTGAAAGAGGGGGTATCTCCATCATGGTATAAAAGAGAGAAGTTTCAACAAAATCATTCTATTTATATATTTTAAATTATTATTATATTATAAGTCTAAGGTAAGCTATCATCTTGGTTCTAAACATTTTAAAAATCATAATAATAATCATGATCTTGACAGGTTTTAGCTGTCAATGTTATGAAGCCAAAACTTTTGAACTTGACAGCTAATTTCTTTCGGCGGCAACTTCATGCTGGCTGAAATGTGATGTGACATGACATGATTGAGTTAGCAAATGACGAGCGAATTGAAGAAGCAAAGCTTTAAGCTATTATTATATTGTGTAGGAGTGAGTCCACGAGTTTCCGTAATATAATTAGAATTTGTGTATAAAAGCCGGAGTTTTTGTAATTAACTATATAATTTAGATATTTGTGACTATTTGTATCAGAATTCTGATAAAGATATCTTTCCACAAAATATTGAATTATCGGAATTTATAAGTTTGTTTGTATTACAAATAAAGTTGTTTTATTATTAAAGTTATTCACTATGTCTGGTAAGTTTGAAAATATCAATAAATGCGTCATTCCCACTGCTAGAACAAGTGAAACGTGGCGTCAAAAGCACTTAAATAATTTAAAAATGGCGAAGATTAACCACTATGTTATTCTCACTGGAGACTCCCTTATTGAAAACTTGGTCAAGCATCCCGTTTGGGCCAAATTTCAACAATTTCATGCCGCCAATTTCGGCATTGTAGGCGATAAAGTGGAAAATGTTCTATATCGGATAAAAAACGGCGAATTTCCGAATAAAAAAACTAAAATAGTGGTTATATTGATTGGAACTAACAATACAGAACATAACAATTTCAAAGATATTTATAAAGGAGTTATTAATTGTGTATTCGTCATTCGAGAATTACTTCCGAATGCCCACATATTTGGTATGAACATGAACTAAATTCAGAATTATCACTTATCAAATGCAAAAATAGTTGTAGGGGAGACCGGGGCAAGATGAAGTTCGGGGCAGTACGGGAAGTAAGCTTGTGTGAGTGAATTGTTATTGTGTTCTGAGCGGCAACAGCGCCATTTGCACGAACTTCACTCTCCGCCAGTGCGTCCATGCAGAGCGGACAGGTTAGAACTCGTTTTTGCGTTGCAGAGAGAAAAAAGTGATATTGCAAGTTTTTTTACGCAAAATTTGATTCGAAAACTGATGTACAGACATGTACATCAGTACATGTGTTAACGTATTATTTCTATCCCGAGCTTATTTATTATAGGAGTCCAAAACATTAAATTTAAACCAGATTTTTTCGCCGGGCAAGTTTGAGGTTAGAATTGCGTCATCTTTTTTAACTACGTGTGGATCGGTGCAAGATGATCGGGTCATAATGGGATAATCCTGTTTTGCCCCGCCCTTATGATTAATTGTTTTCACTGCCGAGCAAGAAAATGGGCTGGCGGAGTATGTGAAATCTATGGAAGCACGGCTTTTTGGTTTAACAGAAAAAGAGCTACGCATTATAGCTTATCAGTTGGCTCAACGGAATCATGTAGATAACCCATTTAATATAGAAACTGGAATGGCAGGAGAAGATTGGCTCAGCGGGTTTTTAAAACCACACCCTGATCTAGCATACAGACGCCCAGAACCAACATCAGCTGCAAGAGCGATGGCTTTTAAGGGGGTTGTTCTTTTTTTATTTTTCTTTGTTTCGGTTTTGAGATTTTTTGATATTATGAAAGATAAAACCCTTAGAATCATTTCATTTTTTGACGAAGTTATAGA